TATACCTAAGCACTTGGTCTTCCTAGGTCTGAGTACTAACCAGGCCCAACTCTGCTTAGCTTCTGAGATCAGACGGAATCAGGCTTGTTCAGGGTGGCATGGCCATAGACTCTGATTACTTTCATGCCAATGAACTACCGACTGGTTTCTAGTTGGTTTTATCACAATAAAACATGTTGAAAAGTGATGTCAAGGGACTGGAATATTCTCTAAGCAGCAACATTGGCTACATTAGAGTTTGGAGGGTCCAAACTCTACTAATTTACCCCTCAAATATCACCAGCTTTGTCTTCTTGCTATTGGACTTACTTCTGGATTAGACAACATAGGTGTGTATCCAGATGAATATATTAGTCATTTCCTCTAGCTTTCTAAGTAATTGATGAGTTACCATGAGTGAGAAATCCCTATCAAAATTGTTTACATAAATCCTAGAGCTATGAAATTGTAAGAAGTTATTTAATTCAGCTCACTGCTCTTAGGCAGTTAGGATATTAAAATCCCTATTTTACCGATGGAAACAGCGGAGGGCAGAGGAGTTAACTGACATACCCAATGTCATGTGACTAGTTAAAATCAGAACAAGGACTGAAATTATGTAGTACCCCTTCTACCATATAACACTAGCATCATGAATATGATAATAACTGGTTATTGAATAAAAGCAACTGGCCATGGCCGTACATATCTTTGAAATCTAAGGAAACTAGGAAAAATTTGAAACACATCAACAGCTATATTCTCAAAGAATTTAGCTCTCTACAGTCCCGATTCCCATATTTTGTAGTCTCTTAACTGAATAAAAACATCAGGGCAATGAAGAGAAAAAATACATTGGAATGCCAAGAGATTTGTACTAAAACTCTTGAATTAGAAACTTATGGGTTTAGAAGATTTGTTTTTCTTATGTAAATTAGTCTTCTGAACAATCTCACTCTGACACACACCCACACACACACACACACACACCCACCCACCCATCCCCGCCCCAGAAAGGAGAAGAAAAAGCCAAGCTAACCTTGAAGAGTAACCTTCATCAGTTGTGCACAATGATATCCTTATTGCTAACTACCTTTTACAAGATTTTAGTCATTGTGTTTACTGTTTCATGTGCTTTATCTTTTGTTTGGTCTTTTTTATATAGACCTTTCTATATATCTTCCTAGTTTGTGCAGTTATCCTTTATGGCAATATAGTATTATGACTATACTATTTAATCATTCCCTGGTAATTAGATTTTTTTCTAGTAAATAAAAGCTCTAAACATCTTGGTAGAAGCATTTTGGTTTTAGTTATTTAGAGAAGTGATGTTATCATCTGAAGTGATGTTATCATCTGAAGTGATGTTATCATGGTCAAAAGATATAATTTATTAAACATTCTTCTTACGTATTTTCAGCTTGTTCTCACAGATTATACTGTTTTATAACACCACTAGCACAATCTAAGGACATATCTAATTCCCCAGTACCTCATCAGTATTTGGTTTTATCATTTTTGTCTCTATTAATATCATGAATATAAAGTATTACCTTTCCTTTCTTATATATTTTTTTCTAATTGTAAGAGTAACACATAGTTTTTGTAGAATGCTTAGAAATACAGAAAAAAAAAATAGAGAAACCCCAGCACCTGGAGGTAAGTGCTCCTTCTATGTGTGTCATTTACCTTAAATGAGCTCTATATTTTCTAAGAGTGTCCCTGGAGAAGGAAATGTTTATCTGGCAGTACTCTGAGAAATTAAGGCCAGATTTTATCTACCCTCTGTGATCCCCATGCATAGTTCAGCAAAGTCTCATTTTTCCCTAACGTCATCTTTCCTGCACCCTTCACTTTGGAAGAATGAGAGTCTGAAGGAAGGTCAAAGTTGAAAGGCCAAGGGAAGTGGCTGAGAGAGGTAAAATTAAAGTGTTGAGAATCAACTTTTATAGACAATTTTTCCTGAAAATAGAGATACAGAGGACAAACCCAGCTTTTTACTTGACATTTGGAACCTAACTTATTTTCTTAAAAAAAAAAAAAACTTTTTCAGAAAAAAGAAATTCTACGGACTACTGGCTGAAAGCCCCAAAGTCTTATTCTATTATTGGTACACGGCGGTATGTTTGTTTATGAATTCGCAAAGAATGTTTAAGGGGCATTCACATTAAATAGTAACTATAGTCAGCTGACAGGAAAGAGAGCTTGTGGGGTGGGGTGAGGTGAGGCCAAGCCTTAGGAAATTCCAGAAAGTCTTAAAGTATCTTGTCTTTTCTCTCTTAACATATTATGATTAAAGCTCCCTCAGGTATCTGAATAAAAAGGGCTGAAATACACAGAAGAGTATTTATTTTAGAATCAGAATTCTTGTTTTTTTCTTTCTGCGCTCCTCTACTTCCTTGAGAAACATTGGAGGAAATCCCTCCTTCTTCCTGTACCTCGGATTACCACTTGTAAAATGAGGATCATAAAATTCATAGTAAATGCATTTGAGACCTGTTATTCTGGATATTTGAGTAGTTTGGAGGTGAAAAAAGTATTTAAAAAGTGCTTAGTGCTTTACCTGGGATCTCATTAAAATCTGTCACATCTCAGAGCTGTATTCCTCCTCTGAACCAGTGTCAGTATAACTTTGATTTCCAGAGATGTTCCTCTTTCTATTTTTCTCTAAGACCAAATAGCTTTGCACATTTGCTTTTTTAGTACTTGAAAGAAGGTAATTCTGAGTATTCATACCCACATGAACCAGCTTTTCTTTTTTTTCTTTCTTTTTTTTTTTTTTTTTTTTTAAAAAAAAAGCTCTTATTTAGCCCAAAGGTTTAAACAGAAAATTTCTGCCGTGGCAGGGCATATTGTTCTGGTTCAAAATGGTCTTGCTGCCAATAACACCAGAGTAGGGACTTCACAGGAGACAGTACCGAGACTTCACAGCTGACTACAAGTACACACAGAAAACCGAACTCTCAGCAGGTTGCAACATGTAACATAAATTCTTGAATTGTACTTTAAGTTTACCTTTGGCAGAATGTAAATATTTAAAACATTGCTCTAGTATTTGGTTAAAAAAAGTAAGTATATTTCCAAGCTTTCTCTTTTTGAGCCCTGAAAATTCTAAATTTTTTTAGTGATCTTACAGAACAGAAGCATTTGAGATAAATCTTTGGAATTTCCTTTACTTTAATTATCTGCAAATGAGAAATGTTTTGAAAACCAAAAAAAAATGAAGATGGGAGGGTATCCTGCCAAATTTATCTTCTCAGTTTGGCAGATAATCTTCATTTCCAGATTGGGGCTGCTGGCTGAGCAAGAGTGTTGCCTCATATGAGTCATAGATGTGATTGATGGTGCAATTGACCTGAGTATGATGTGGCAAGGTTAGAGTTGCACAGCTCATCTTGATTTTTATTACAATAATAATGTAAATAGCAAAGCTGATTGGAGATAAATTATATTAAATGTATACCGAATTTGCAAGAAATTATATTCTTATTGGTATGGCGCAAGCAAACCAATCCTTGGCTCTGACTTCTGAAGTGGCATGTTTTCTATCTCCAAGGCGAAGGGAATTTGAAAAAAGTGATAGTTCACTTTCTTAAACTTTATGTTGAGTTAATTAATCCATTGAACTTATAGGTTTAATAGCTATTTATTAATGTTGACTTCAAAAGGGTACTAAGTCTTATCTCCTGTTATGCTGGATTTCAGATATCTTTTCTACTTCAAGTTATTTGGAAATAAATTTAGATTTAAATGATAGGATGTAGATGAAGGCTCTCATTACAATCTGAATAAACATGACATGCTCTCTGTGGACCATGGGAACATTCTGTGACACTAAGTGACTTTCTATTTAGTTACTTTTCCAGTCTTAAAAATTATAATTTGTTAGAGTGTACACATGGCTTGCCATGTCTGCATGCTCTGGGTTACAAACCTTTATCCCAAATAAATCCTTTTGGTGACCAAAAAAAATTATAATTTGTAACTTTAATTAGAGATCTACCATAGGTATGAGAGATAAAAATGTAGTAATTTATAGGAATCACAAAATACTTTATTCAAAAAATCTATATCATTCACTTTTCTACTTAAAAAAAAAAAGTGTGGTCTCTGCTCCCAGTAAGCTTTCAGTTCAATAGAAGGACACACAACAGTACCGGAAGTGTAACCAGGTACCTTGGGAACAGAGGAAGGACAACTTAGATTTATGTAGGGGAAGTAGGGCTGACTTCACAAAGAAAATGTTGCTTAGTGTATAGTGAGTCTTAAAGGAACAGGCACTTGCTAGACAACAGGAGGATAAAAGGGTAATCCAGGTGGAGGGAACTCATTTATAATATTGTGGCCCTTACAGCAGTTTGCTTTTCCTGGAGGGTAAAGGATGAGGAAGAGAATAACCAGAGAGGGCCGGTAGGGGCCAGATCTAAAACTGGTCTTCACTAAACCCTTTAGATTTAATTCAAGGAGTGATTAGGAATCCTTAGAGAATTTTAAACAAGAGAGTTACGTGGATTTATATTTGGAGATAGTTACTTGTGTTACTTGCAATACTGGCAGCATCACAGAGACTTGATTGGAAGGTAGAAGAACCAATTAGAAAGGTAATGCAATAGTCTCTCCAGGCAGCAAAAGGAGGATAAAGTGGGACAGAGAAGGGAAACAGCAGATAACTGTCATCAGGACTTGGCAATTGGGAGAGACATGTTGTCATCTAGGACATAAGGATTCCCCTCAGTCACTGTTAAATTAAAAGGCTTTCTGGTTAAGCTGGTTAAGTAACGATCATTAGCAGAGAGCATAAGCTAGATAGAATTAACTTATTTTTCCCTGGGCACCTGTGAATATGAGTGGTTGATATTTATAACACTAAAAGCACATTCTGTGGAATATAAAAACTAATGTAAAACCTAATCTCTTCTGGATTTTATTTATTAAGGAGATTTGCAGTACTTTTTGAATATTGCATCTAGATTTCTCATTTTCCATGCAAAACTTATTCCTGAGTTTGATTTTCCAAATAGATTCATCGGGCCCAGAGCCGAAGTGCAGGTGGAAGGAAGATCTCTGAAAACAGCTATTCTCTGGATGATTTGGAAATAGGTCCAGGTAAGCAGAGAGTTCCATGTGTGTGAAGTTCTCTAGGAAGTACTCATTAGTAACAGGACCTTTTAGCCTCAAAGCCAATGTTTTTGGAGGAAGAGTAGCAGAAATTAAAAGAAAGTCTATCTATTAGATACAAGCCATTCCCAAATCTCATTGCTCTCTACACATAGCTTCTCTGTATTTTTAATCTATCCCTGTCAATGGTAACCTGTGGTAAGCCAAGGGTACCTTTGCGGAATTACAAGGAAGTATTACCCATAGTTTTGACTCCATGGTTATCTGGGGCTTGAGGATTCCCATGAATGGGCAGTATCTTCTATCAAGATTGGTTATCCTGTATTACTAGCAGTAACAAAGCACCTTAAGAGTGGAATTACTATGTTTTGAAGGAGCCTATAAGCCACTTCACAAAAGGAAAAACAAAATTAATAAACATAGGAAAATCATCAGCCTCTTAGTAATCAAAGAAATGCAAATAAAATGACATTGAGATCTAATTTTTTTACATGTAAAATAAGCCAAAAAATTTAAACATGCAATACTCGATTATGGTAAAGTGTCTCCTTTTAATGTTGGGAGAGTGAGTGACAGTTATACTTCTAACAGTTACCTTCTTTGGGCTCTTAATAGAAAAAGTTGATTACATCAGTACAATAGCCCTAAATTTAGAACCTTAAAGTCATTAAAATCACATTTTATCTTCTAATAAAGCATATTGTTTTCATGCTTCCAGGTCAGTTGTCACCTGCATTCAACTCGGAGAAAAGCGAGACTAGGCGAAATCTGGAGATCCCACGCCTATCAGAAACCTCCATAAAGGATCGAATGGCCAAGTACCAGGCAGCTGTGTCCAAACAAAGCAGTTCCACCAACTATACAGTATGTGTCCTGCATCATTCATTCACTCGTTCATCCAGCAAATGGTCACTGATCATGGGAACCAGAAATGTCTCCCAGACCCTGATTTGTTAGCCCTGGCTCCTTCCCTGGACCCTTGCCATTCTCTTTTCACAGAATCCTACCATTATTTCATTCATGATCCTTACCATGTTTTAATTTTGACTTTGCTTTCCTAGGCCTCATTCCGACCCCACTCATTTTTTTGTAATATTACCATTCAGTAATGTCATCGAGAGTTTTCCTTTCTCTTCTACATAATCTTGTTTCTAGTAAAGTAGTAGTACTGTATTAGTTTTAACAGAAAATCTATTTTATTTTTGTTTTTGAGGGAAGAAAGTGTGAATAGCAGAGAGAATATTGGACATATTCAACATTAAATATGGGGTGGGGTATTTTGCGATTTGTTATTGATATATAATTCACATGACATAAAATTGCCATTTTAAAGTATACACTTCAATGATTTTTAGGATATTCACAAAGTAGTGAAACCAACATCACTGTATAATTCTAGAATATTTCTGTCACCCCAAAAAGAAACACCATGCCTGTGCAATCACTCCCAGTTCCTCCCTCCCCTCATCCCCTGGCAACCACTAATCTACTTTCTGCCTTTATGGATTTGCTTATTCTAGACATTCCTTTTAAATGAAATCATACGATATATGGCCTACTTCATCTTTACTCCTTGTCATGTATTTTTATAAAAAATAGTGGATAAAAAAAGGGAGAGAAATGATAAGATGACGTGCTCAGTAAGCACAAAATTTGGTATTCTAAATTCAATGGAGGGTCTTTCTATTTTATACTCACCTAGGCTTAACTGGCAGGATGACGCTATGAAACAGCTTAATAGAATTTACCGTCTATTCATATGTACACATGTGAACACACACATATATACACATCTTTCAAACATTTGTTCCTTCTAAGATTTCAAATTACAAACCATTAATCTCTTGATGTTCTATTTTTTAACAAAGTCGGAAGAATAGTATTGAATTTTATTTGTTCCCAAGCAGACTGAAACTGGTGCCTCTTAAATAGAGGTCATAATGTGTATTTTAGGAGTTGAGCCTTCTTTTTCCCACATTATTAAGTATTCATTCTCCAGTAGTATTTATTGGTGGCTAAAGTCTCTGGGCAATGAATAATTTCATCTAGATTTTTCACTGTAGTGTAAAGAAGAGATGATGTGTGTAAATCAATAGTGAGTGTAAAAAAATTAGCAAATTTAGACTTCTCTTAGAAGGCAGGTCAGGAGATACAGCAAAAATGTGATTTGTGGAGCTTTATTCTCTCAGGTACAGGATTTTGCTGCTTCCCAGTGCCTTCTTGTTATAAGCATTCTGACCAGGTGACTCCCTAAGTGGAAAAACCTGTTCAGTGACTTTTTTTTAAACTCCTAATAGAGTTTCTGCATTGCAATTCTCCTGGCTCTGTAAATTTTAAGAGTTGAAAGCTTTAGGAATTCTTGTAAAAAGGACATTTTATCTCATCCCAAAGGAATTTCTCAGGCCTCTACAGAGGATGGTTGTAACAAGGCATACACTCTCTGGCAGTGTTTCTAGAGGCTGAGTTTTGAGATGGGAACGGGAAGGAGTGTTGGGCTGTTGTACTGTGGTGTTCTGCAGTTCTGGCTGCCAGCTCTTCCATATAGATGCACCTCCAGAGTGTGTGCCTTAATCTGGAATTCCACACCAAAGTAAGTCAGCCACACTTATACTCTCTTCATTGGCCCTGTTGTCTCCCCATTCCTAAAGAATCACAAAGAACAGAAGGGTACTAGATTACTAGCAAACTAATAGTAGGAAATGTTCATATTCATCTACCTGTATATTGATTTTGGATCTAGTAAAGTAAATTTTAATATTTTACCCCGAGCGTTCTTTGCAAGGAAAAAAATATGGTTATGCTTACTCTTTATGACAGTATTAATGCCTGCTTTTTTATTTTGAGGTTCTACTATGAGAAATAGAATAAGGTATGTCTTTAGTACGAGTATGAATTTTATACAAAAACCAAAACAAAACAAAACATGTTTTTCAAAGTCTTACCAAAAGAGGTTGTTTTATGGTATCATTAAATATAATTTGTTTTCATATGTATACATCATCCCTGTCTCTCTTTCCAGGCCGGGCATATATATATATGGTCAGTATATTTTCTTAATTATTGGCACTTGGCATCTCCTTTCCCCTGCTCCAGAATGGTCTTTTCTGATAAAACTCACAAGCTTTGCGTTCCCACAAGCTCTGCTGCTAGAAGAGTGAATCACAAGAACATTGTTTGCTGGGGGCAGGCGGGGCTTTGTGTATGTCTGTGTTGGTGTGTCTGTATTCTAATGAGCATATGGTTTTAGACTAGTGTACAAATATTTAACTCTGAGGTATGTGTCCACAAAGCTGCTTTTGTCATTTCACAAGTCAGTGGGTTTTGCTTGTGAGAAATACGGGATAGATTTGACCTGAGGCCTCTTAAAAGAATTTTTTTTTTCCACATTCCAAATTTGCTTAATAGATGTGCTGTGAAGAGGATAGAATAGTGAGAATTTTTTTTAATTCACAGACTATTTTTATTTTTCTAGAATGAACTGAGAGCCAATGGCGGTGAAATCAAAACTCATAAATTGGAGCAAAAGGAGAATGTGCCTCCAGGTCCCGAGGTCTGCATCGTCCATCAGGATGGAGAAAAGGTAGGTTGAAAAGCCTGATGTCCAGTTGCCAAGGAAGCATGTGTTCTAAATTAGATGCTTAAAATTAGAAACCACTCTAACCCTGGGCTGTAGAGTGTCTGGGAATTTGGTAACAGCTGCCAGGACAGATTTTTGTTTTTGCAGGTCACATAATTTTTGGTTGGGGAACTCTGCAACTTATAGCTGACCAAATAATGAACCTTCTTTGGAAAATTCTTTTGCTCAGAAAATGCTCATAGAACATAGAGCAAAGTGATTTTTGAAAATCTGTTTTGATTAGAAATACTATCTTCAAAGTATATTATTAATTGAACTCATTTTATGTGAGAAAATTTCATTCTTTCACTCTAAATATTTTGAAAGCTAGGCACTATGCTAAGCACTGGAAATGCTAAGCCTAAAAACTAAATATAAACATACATTCCATGTGCTCTTTATCTTCAAGGAAGCTAACAATAGAAGAGAGATGAGTAACAGATTGGCTATCATAAAACAACGTGACAAGGGCTATGAGAGGGCTATGTAGGGCCATGGAAGTGCAGGCTAAGAACACTTATCCTGACTTCCTCAAGAAGGTGATATGTGAGCTGAGTCTTGAAGAATGTGTGTAAAAAGGCCAACTGAATAAGAAGAAGTTCGAGTAAAGAAAGAAAAGGGTATTCCAGGCAGACATAACAGAAGTTTAGAAATAGGAGATCCAAACCAAGATGACTTGGCTGGAGCACGAGGTACATATAGGCAATGATGAGAGACAAATGGAGGGAGAGGGCCAGTATGCATCTTAAAAAACTTCGTGTACCACTCTTAAGAGTTTGGATGTTGTCATGCAGTGATGGAAAGCAAATTAGATTTGTGTTTTATGCATTCATCATTAGATGAATGGTTTAATTGAAGTAACAATATGTATGTCCGGTAAATTTATCATTTTCTCTGCCAATCCATTACCCAATTTCTTTGGTCTTTCAGTCAATATGATAATCAAATGTTTAGTTAGTTGAGGAGAAAGAGCTTTCAAATCTATTACAGTGATTAATCTTAGCAGAAAAACCATTGTTTCTTTTATATATAGTAGTACCCTTGAGGTTATTCTTCCAAAAGATGAAGAGATAATTAAAATAGGTTAAGAGTATCTACGGCCATGCCATCCTGAATGTGCCTTATCTGATCTCATCAGATCTCAGAAGCTAAGCAGAGTCTGGCCTGGCTAGAACTTGGATGGGAGACCACCTAGGAATACCAGGTGCTGTAGGCATTAAAAAAAATGGCTTAAGAGTAATAGTTCTCAAACATATTTCACTGTGGCAGACTTTTAAAAGTATGATATATTTACAGAACATTGACAGGAGCTCATGAGATACACTACACATGTAGACCGAAGTAGGTACATAGAAAAATGATCTCAGATTAATGGCCACACCATTTGAATCATAGAATAGAACAGGAAAATAATTAGAAAAATTGAATCACTTTATTTTACCAAAACATCACAAATATATGTTGAAATAATAAGACAAAATACTTGTAATGTGTTTTGTAATCATAAAATCATCAAATGAATTACATCCTTGCAGCAGTGGGCTCAGGCATTAGTCCCGTGGATCACATGTCATGCATCAAGTGAGTTCTCTCATTAGACTGCCTGGTTTCCCCAATTTTTTTAAGTGGGAAATTGCCCTAAGAATAACTGAGTAAGTATGTTTGGAATTTTTCTTATGTACTATCAAAAAGACATTTAAGAAAAAAATAGTCCCAGCATTGAAATCCCCCCCATCTATCCTAGGGGCATAGTTTGAGAAATGATCATCTAGAAAATAATGCTTGAATTGTCCCTATATCTAATTTCATGTTTTCTTCTTTATTGTCTTCATGTTAATTTGAAACTGGAACTCTGAGCTGAACTGGAAGTTCAGAACATTTTAATTATAGCCTAAAAGAGCATCAGTGGGGAAGAAAGGTGTTAAAGATAGTACATAGTCTTCAAGCACATACTGCAGGTTCATAAAGTCTTGGCTGCCTTAAAATTTGTAAAATTTTCCTAACCTCAGCTATCCTTTTGACTGTTTGCCTAGCTTTTGTTAATCAGTACCTAAGAACTATTTGAACTTCAGCTTGTTACAAAAGAACGTTAATGCCAGGGTAAACTTGCCTGAAATAGAATATTTTGTCAAGGTATTGTTCTTCCCTTTCTCCTCTTGTGAATGAATTTGTACTTTCCTTTAATGAAATGTTTGAGCAAAATCTCACGTGCCCTCTCCTGGCTGTTCCTGAAGTGAAGTCATCGGGTTGGGCGTGTGCAATGATGTCATGATTGGCATTAAATTTACCCTGCAGGTTCAAGGTGACCAAATTAGAGGTGAGAGAAGAACATCCTGGAAAGGATGCACCTATTAATTAGCAAGAATTGAAGAGCTTTTTATGGCCATGCACAACTTTCAGAAAATTTATTTCATATCATTAAATGAAATAATGCATGTAAGGTGATCATTCCAGTGATCATAATAAACACTTGGCAAATGTTGGCTGTTATTATACTGGTTCATTTTATAACATATCAGAATTCCTGTAATGATACGAGTAGTGCTTGGTGAACACACAATGCAATATATATATGCCTTACTGTTGAATTATGTACTTGAAACTTACTGGATTTCGTTAACCAATCTCGCCATAATAAAATAAATAAATACATTTTAAAAAATGAAAATAGTGGGGAAAAAACAATTATGCTGAAATTTAAGTGCAATCAGCCAGTAACTTAATTCTGTTATAAATTTTTTCAGTATATTAGACATCCTGATATTAACTCTCAGCATCACCTATGAAATCCTTGACATCTGAATGAAAGAATCTTACATGAAGAGTGTACATTGGGTCACCTATTGACCCTTTAAGATTTTGAATGTGGAAGAAGATACCAGGAAGGCCTAGCGGCCAGTAGAAAGGAGAGAGAGACCTAGTAGAAAGTTCTTTTGTTTAAATTTGATGGCTTCTGGGAAAAAGATCTGCCATTTTGTTAACCCCTGCTATTTTGAGCCTTGGATTAAAAAGGGAAACTAACCTTAAAGGTAATAGCAGAAGTTAGCTTTCAATAAGTTTGTTTTATAGTTATCAAAAGTCTTCTGTACTAGCAAGTTTTTGTTTCAGCATAATGTATTTGGTTGGGAAGTGAGGAATCAGGAAAATAAAAGAATAAGAATATTTCCTATATGTAAAGACTTTATATTGTCTTGGAGTGAGTTATGGTCATATGAGTTATGGTTTATGGTGAGGAGCTTTGCTCTCTATGATAGAGGGTTTTGTTTTGCACCCTGTCCCCCCTTTTGAGAACAGAAAGATATGATTTAGAAGTTCTTTTATAAAGGGAGATGATGCACACTTTTGGCAGCTGAGTGCAGTCTGTCTCTGGCATTACTCTGTAATTGAGAGGCAGGCTAATATTCTCATAAAAGACGTTTTGCTGCCTCTTGTTTAAATGCTCAGCTGTTCTGGGGCCCGTTATTTCCCCCGGCAACCAGTGACTGACTGGAGTCAGCAGGTTTTTATGGCATTACCAGCAGTTTGCTCTTTTATTTTTAATGTGATTCTTAATCCCATCCACCCCCTTTTTTGTAGATTTCTGCAACCGAGAATAGCCTGGCAGTCCGTTCCACCCTTGCTGAAGATGACTCCCGTAAACATTTGCTCTTAGATCTGGAGGGTGAGGTTCTTGTTCTCTATCCCATATTTGGTTGGGGGATGTCCTCATTCCCTCAGTGCTGAGTAGGTAACATTAAATCCAGGAATTCAGCTGATCAGATCTTTCACTTGGTTTTAAGGACTGATACTTAAATACCCTTCACACATTTCATGGGTTAGGGAGAAGTTAAATTCAATTAAATATGATTAACTTGAGGCAAACTGAATACTTTGATACTTCTCTCATTAAACTTACCTACCTTTTGTACCAAATCTTTTCAGGGTTAAAGCTGTAAAAACTGTTTTTGCAGTTTAATATGAGTTTGGCTAAGAAGGATTTTATTCATTTACAGGGATAAAGATTTAGTATTTAAGTAACCTGTTAAAATCTTTCTCTACTTCTCTGCATATGTGTACCATAGTCTACCCTCTTGCCAAATTCTAGAGATTTTCCTATTTATGTTTAATTTGAAAACCTTTTCATATATTTTGGAGTCATTTTGAGCCTCACTTCTCCCAAAGATAAAAAAATTTGTTTTTATTCTTTAATATATCCACTTTGATTCTGATTTTGTGTGTGTGTATATGTGTATGTATATATATATATATACACACACACATGTATATGTGTATGTATATGTATATGTATGTACATATATAGAAATTGTGCAATTCTGAGAGAGGAGTT